TCATGAACCCTCCTAAGTAGGGGGCCGTACGCGAATCCTCTAGAGGGGTCCGGACCTTCAAATCCGGTTTTCAGGGACCGGTCGGCTCGGTTTCACGGAGCGTCGGTCCCAAGCGCCACGACCATCGGGACTGGGGGACTGACATCTTATGCCCATGGGTTGGGGTGGTTGACCTGGAGTCAATATAAGCATATATATATATGTGCGGCGGCATTTATTTGGTACTAAACTCAATTACACTATATATATATATATTATATATTAATTATGTGTGGGCCCTATCTTGTTTAGACTACTTAAGTAGGAGGTCATGTCTCGTTCAGACTACTTTAGTAGCAAATCACACTATCTCGTTCAGACTACTTTGGTGTCACCAAACAAAATTATCTCGTTTACGTGGGGGCCCTATCTCGTTCACAAGCGCATACTGATGATAGACAAGCAAATAGAGCATGCCGTAGACTACTATACTACTTTAGTAAAGCCTAACTAAAAGTGGTTGCTCATATTATATTGATGTGTGATGTGGCCCACTGTGCTGATGTGTGATGTGGTGAAGAGCGAAGAGTCACACACTCGTCTCTGTCCGTGCGGTTTGTCTGAGTACGTCCAGTATGCGTGTTTTAGTCCGTGCACCACCGAAAGCCTATAATCCCGGATCTTCCAGAGCAGCTATGCAATGCTATGCATCATGTCTGCCGAAGCTGGCTGATTTTTTGGATGAACAGGTAGACATATGTTACATAGTTGGAAGATCCAGGTCCTTACACCACACCACCAAATGTGAAGATGTACGAAGCGCATCTTAACCTCCAACCCGAGAAGATACCGGTGTTCTCTAGAATATTTTGGGGTCTTTGGGGACGTGGAATTAAAAGATGGTGAGAATGGGTTTGACGGGATCCTTAGGCCACAGAACTAGCAATCCTTGCAGCTTTGGGGGGAACTGCCTCCAAGAGTCAATGAGGAAGGTTCTTACCCCCATTGCATGTCCGCACTGGTCAAGACCTCTATTTTGCGCATCCTCCTATCCCACATCATTCACACTTTGGTGGTCATGTGCCCCATGTCCATTGGAAGATCAAAAGTGGCTTGTATGGTGGTTCATATCAAGAAACTAAAATCAGTTGTCAGTAGTCTTTCAACTGTGATGAATGCCATACTTCTTTTGTTTGTTAACAAACACCCAATCCAAGAAAATGTCACTGTAGTCAATCCCAGCAGTTCACCGTGCAAATCACGTTTGCCAGAAAGTAACATGTTAAAACGCCAACGTTTTTCTGCAAATGTTTTTGGCACCACATTTTTTTCGGCTGCCTTCGCTCACCCTTTGCTCACCCCCAAATCACCCTCTGGGCGTGCGCTCTGCTTTGCGGCGCATCGCGCCCCCCACCAACTCTCCGCCCTGCCTGTATCGCTCCCGGGGCGTGCGCCAGCGACGGCGCCCCAATCAGTGCAAAGATGCAAGAGGTCACCATACTGAAAACCGGAAGCGTCCAGAGTCACTTGCGCTGGCCACAAGACCTGGCGGAGGAGATCTTGTGAAATTGATGGCGATCTCAAGATCTGATGTCCGAACGGGAACACTATTGGGTACATTCCCATGTCTGGAGTTGGTTGGTTTGTTATTTTGCTTGCCTGCTTTGCTTGTTCGTCTGTTGTTTGTGTCTGCTTCCATTTTGTCAGCGTTGTGCACCTATGTTTGCTTAAGCAATTGCTGTGGTGGGTTCTGGGTTTTTCTGTTTGTCTGTCATTGTTTGTTTGTTTGTTTGATTGATTGATTGATTGTTTGTTTGTCGGTGTGTTTTATTGTTTAATTCCTGTACCTTCCATTAACGAAACAACACAAATTTCAGTCGTTTGCCGTCAAAAACACCGCTTCATTTCAAAAGTGCTGTTTCAATGTTTTTACAGAGGTTGCCAAATGTCGGTAAAAGTCGCCGTTTGGCCGTTTGCTCGGGGAAAGTCGCCGTTTGGTGGGGAAAAGTTGCCGTGCCAAAACCTTGACTTACCATAGAAAACATGTCAGTGCGAAAAGTGCTTCAGGCCAAAATAGTTGGCGTTTGCTTGAACAAGTTGTTTTGATTGAAAAGGCTGGAAAAAGGCATAGTTATGAAGATTCAGGTTGTTTAACTGTTTAATCAACTGTTTGCTTGCTCGTTTGTTTGTTCGTTTGTTTGTTCGCTTGTTTGTTTGCTTGTTTGCATGATTGTTTGCTTATTCGTTCGTTAGTTCCTTCGTTCGTTCCTTCGTTCGTGCGTGCGTGCGTGCGTTCCGTTGTTCGCTCGTTCACTGCCTCGCTCGCTCGCTCGCTCGCTCGGTCGGTCGGTCGGTCGGTCGGTGGGCTGGTTGCTTGCTTGCTTGCTTGCTTGGTTGCTTGGTTGCGTGCAGGCATGCTCGCTGGCTGGCTGGCTTGCTTGCTTGGCAGCCTCGAAGCCCTAAGTGATTGATTCATGCTGCAGTCAAAAAGGCCGAAGAGGAAGAAGAAAAGGAAAAAGAAGAAAAAGAAGGAGAAGCGAAACTACACATGCAGGAGCAAAGTGGAATCAGAACATACTTAAAATAGAAAACGGTTTTTTCATCAGAATCAGAGCCATTCGGGTCTCCGTACAAAGTTCTGGAGTAAGATGAAAGAAACCCTGTAGATTTGCTAGGTGCATGAGTAACAACCTGCCGCCCCAGAACCCAGAACCTGCATGGGCACTTCTCAACCCAAGCGGTCTCCTCTCTGGAAGTCTCCATTCAGAACTCTGGATGAAAAGCATGATATTTTCATGCAGGTCATCGATGTCTTGGTGTTTCCTCTTTGGAAAGTTCTTCCTCCCACATGCCTCCAATGACTCATTTTACCCCATGTTGGAGTCAAAATCCACCACTACCAGGCCAGGTTGTTTTGATGTATCATGACTGGACGGCTTTAGGCAGCCCCTCTCTTTCGATTCGGTGTCCTCCTTAGAGTGCTCTGAGTCTACTTGGACCCGACTTCAAGTACTTTAGAAAATGGAACACGAACCCCATTTCAAAACAAGGTACCATCTTGCACCCATTTTCTGAGGTACGAGTTCCGGGTCGACTCCAGGTACAGTTGTCACCTTCTCGTCACACCTGAAAACAGCATCACCATGTCTGACATGGACCCAACCACGCGCCACCTGTGCCATGTTTTCTGTTCCACACCACAAAAGCCTCCATAGCTATGGCCGGATCCAGTGATGGCTTTTCCGACTCCCCAAGCTGAACCACCCTTTCCTCCTAGATTTTTCGTGGGGTGTCTCATGGTGTATCTCCCAAGAAGGAGTTTTTTTGGGCACGAAAAAACCACACCATCCAGGCACCTCCTCTTCCCGAGTCTGTCTCTTCTTTAAAAGAGAACTGGACGACTGGGACCTGGCACCACCTGTTCCGCCGCGTTCCGCCCGCCTGGACCTCTAAGGCGGCGCCCGAAAGTCGGCTGCTGCAGGAGGTGTCGAGCCACAACCAGGCCTCACCAATGGGATTGGACGAGCTTCACGAAGATGAGAGGGGGGGGGTAGTAGTAGTAGTAGCAGTAGCAGTAGCAGTAGCAGCAGCAGTAGTAGTAGCAGTAGCAGTAGCAGTAGCAGTAACAGTAGCAGTAGCAGTAGCAGTAGTAGTAGTAGGAGTAGCAGTGGCAGTGGCAGTGGCAGTAGCAGTAGCAGTAGTAGTAGCAGCAGTAGTAGTAGCAGCAGTACTGGTAGTAGCAGTAGCAGTAGTAGCAGTAGCAGTAGTAGCAGTAGCAGTAGTAGTAGCAGCAGTAGCAGTAGCAGTAGCAGTAGCAGTAGCAGTAGCAGCAGCAGGAGTAGTAGTAGTAGTAGCAGTAGCAGTAGCAGTAGCAGAAGTAGTAGTAGCAGTAGTAGTAGTAGCAGTAGTAGTAGTAGCAGTAGTAGTAGTAGCAGTAGTACAGGGGATGATAGGGCAAGAACCATAAATAGATAAGTCCTACGGGACTCCACACTGCATTGATGTCATCATAACCTTTATCCCGAATCCCGAACAACCATTGCTTTATTATGGATTTTACACTAAGGTCAACCGGTCAACCTTTCTTGTAAATTTAAAGTTTAAATGGTCTTGGAAGGCTATGGCTATGGTGAGTAAGTCTTAAGTAAATATAAGAATGCAACTCTTGTTCATCTTATTTACGACAATAGATCATGGGGTCATTTGGGCATCATTTGTTTGACATCTGTGGCTCATCGGTTCCTGGAGGATGAGAAACGACGACGATCGAGGACGGACGTGAGGATTCAGTGTGACCAAAGCTTCTTGAAACACCCGACGACCCTGGCCCTACAAGTCCAGGCCCAAACCTGGTCTTTTACCTCCTCAAGTATGGGTGTTGTATGACCATCTCTAGTAAAATGCGGTCAAACTGACTTGTAGGGCTGGTGTCAACACTTGACCCACCTGTCCATCAACCATCCTGTCTACGTAGCTGCACCACAGGTCCTCCAAATATGGACATGGGCCGAATTGTCATATTGATTGAAGGGGAGTACCCATCCTCAATTCTTCCCGGGTTCAAAACATCGGGTGTTCCAACCATCCTCTTCCAGTCAGGCGGACCTGAGATTCCCACCACGGTCCCATGGTCCCACTACCCTCTTCTCCGCCGTTCCCACTGAGGCGGAAGGAAGGTATAACACCAAAAACACATCCTCGCCTTAGACCCCCCAATCTCTACATGATCTGGAATGTTATATAGATATGTCTCTGGGATAGATGATGATGGATGTGAAAAGGGTCCCCTAGAATCACTCTTCAATGTAGGAGCCATGAAAAACACACCAGGCGACATATGGCAGGCACGTGCCCAAGTCCTCACAGCTCACCTGCCACACAAAAAAGAGGTTTCGATTCCGCGGGAAGCGGTGCACCTACTAGCGATGGCCTCCAACCTACTACTAGGGATGGCTTTCAATGCATGGGTTTCCTTGCGGATCTTTGAAGAAGGGTTCTCCTCTCGGTGAGGAAACGGCCTTCAGAACAGTACGGTTCATTCACAGGTAGATGCGAGGGTTAGGAGTTGCTACAACTGCGGCTGCATGGACTCATCAACGTGCAGATCTGGCAAGATGCTGTGGGAATTGAAGATTCCCTAGGGATCCACACACCTTCTCAAAAGGTACTTGGGCCCTCCAAGCTTACATAAATAGTCTCCAATCACATTCTGAGAAGGTATTTGGATCCCTCACCCTGAATCACCTCTTTTCTGGTGCGCTTTTCGACGCCCCTGATGATCAGGGGGCTCTGGATGGCTCGTGCGTATGCTCCACGAAAGGAAAAGTGTTCGGGGAAGCCGAAAAATCATGTTTATATAAGATACCCTACAAGTCAGCTGGACCTCATTTTGCTGGAGATGGTCACCCAAAACCCATACTGAAGGAGGAAAAAAAGACCAGGAGAGGCCGTCGGGTCAGACTGGCCGTCGGGTAGCGTTTGGGAACGTGTTTTGACCAGGCCAAGCCGGGTCCCGGTCTTCGATACCCAGTGGATCCGGGTCCCAGTGGGTCAACCCCTCTGACCTGAACCACACAAACGGTGGACCAGCGTGGACTCGAAGTGCTCACACCGGAGCCAAGGAGTTCAAAAGGCGACAACTCGATGTCTTTGAAGCAGATGTTTCCACAAAAGGTTGAAACATGTCGTCAACTCCTCAGCTTTTGGAGACTTTAAAGTGACCCCCGAAGTCGGGTCCAGGACGAAGAGAAGTCGGGTCCGATTGAATGTTCGTCTCCCGGCTCACAAAAGGGTGGTGTTTAGTCCCTAAGCCTCAGCGAGTGGATAATGGCATCCTCCAAGTTCGGCACCCCGTCTTGTGACTCCTGTTATACAGAGATATCAGATATCCATCCTGGATCCCAAGATTGGACCCGATTCTGGGTGATGGGGAACAAGGATGGCTGGGTCAGTTCCCCCGTTCCCCTTCAGGTCCCACGCTTCCTGGGCCATTGATTGAGGCGGGTCATCACGAACCACCGAGCTGTTTTACAAACCGCCTGAGTCCATCTTCGTTCTTCGCACGCGCTTCAGTCCACCGAGTCGACCGGAGTCCACTGTGCGAAGAACGAAGAACCATCTTCTGCTCGAAAAAAAAGGTCTCTGGCAGGGCAGTCTGCCACGATCAGCAGAATCTGGCGCTTCATCTCCCACTCCATCCGCATGACCAATCCGCGACGCATCGCGACAAGCGTGCCTCCAGAGTGAAGCTTGTTTGAGACACTGCCAGATGTCGTGGGAAGCTGCCAGCCACCCAAGCACTCGTCACCGGTGACACATACCTCGTGTCAGGACGTCCTGTGGCCGTCTCTGGGGTCTTTCTCTAGCCTGAGAAAAGCCGTTTCACTGGAAAAACAAAATCAAGGTGAACTGAACTTTCTGTTGGATTTTAGTGGCTTTGTCCCCACTACCCAAGATGGTCCACTCACTGGGTAGGTCAGATGTCACAGAGAGGCGTAGGGTCTCAAAAAGAATGGTCCTCACAAACCTTGAGAGAGGACTCGCAAACCATTCGACGCATCCCGAAACGCCCGGTGATTTTGGTGCGTGATGTGCAGCATGCCTCGTGGTGTCCTATGATGTCGCCATTACTTTGTCCAGCGTTCGAATGAAACGAAAGAGCTGGGGTCCCCCAAGAGCTGAGCAGACCTATAAGTATTATAGTCAGTGCGATCCTTTTTCCAGTGGTTGAGGGTTGGGCGGTTGGGTATCATCCATCTTGCCACATGACCTGATGCGTGTGACTTGGGAGCCGAATCGGAAGCAGCCAAATCGGAAGAGCCGACTGCCTACCCAGCTCACTCTCTCGTCACCGAAGATGCCTCATATTGCCTCATACCTCGTGAAAAAGTCCCCATGTGACGCCGAGAAACGTGCGGAGACCAGTGTCGCCATAGGGCATGGGCTTCCCCAAACCATCCAAATCAAGGCAGATCAAATACTCCTGCAGCCCAAGTGATAGGCTTGAAAGGAAACAGTGTCATGTATGCTTTCCAGCATGAGCGCTGCGGTGTTTTCCCTCGCCGCAGTTGTTGATCCACTCAAGAAAACAATCAATTATGTATTCCATGTTGAGAACTCCCACATCCAGGTCCTCCGTTTCTATCGCTTTCGCTGCTTGCAGGTGGACAGCTCGCAGACCGCAGAAGTCCAATGTGAAATTTGGACTGTTTTGTCGCTTTCTCGGATCCGAAGCGAATGACTTCTTGTTCCTATAGTAGTAAGAAGGCTACTAGTAGTGATTATGCCAAGAGCCCCTAGTAGCTTCTTGTTGCTAGTAGTGATGCCAGGAGCCCCTAGTAGCTTCTTGTTCCTATAGTCGCTTTCTCGGATCCGAAGCGAATGCAGACTCCGTGATCCAAAAACGCTTGAGCGGGGGGGACTCCCTCGGCGGCCAAACCGCATCCTTCATGACTCCCAAAGAGCCACGATTCCGGTCCGTGCAGTCGGACCATTGGCTAAATGTATACTTAGGTGACCCGAGTCAAGGAATTTCCTAAGACATTCTACCCGAAAAGGAGTCCAAAGACATACATTCTGACCGACTTAAGTCGAAAGTTCACTTCGGGTCACCGAGTCAAGTCAGACAGCAAACGTTCGTTGACTCGCAGGGCCGCAGGGCACGAGGCTGACAACATCTCCTCGGTCCTCTGAGCTGCCCAAAAAAAGAAACGGCTGCGCGGTCTGTTTCAGCTCGAACAGACACCGGGCTCCTCTCCGGGGACGAGGCCGCTGGCATCAACCACTGCCACAAAGAGATGGCTCCAGTGGCTCAGCGTCGCCTGGGCGTCGCTTCTTCGCGCTTGATGTGCTTGGGACCACGTTTTTGGGCTACAGTAGGTTGGAGGCCATCGCTATTAGGTTGGAGGCCAGCAAGCTGGTCTAGAAGGTCTGCCCCCAGGACGTCCCGCTGTCGAGTTACGAAGGTATGACTGGAGCCCTAGGAGACTGAAAGTCCAAGTTGGACTCATGACTGGGGGAAACCCAGGAAAGCCACCGGTGGGTGACAACTCTCACTCTCAGCTTGCTGGAGCATTGGTCTGTTCAATGCATCTTAGATTTGAGTACAAGGTTCATGCAAACCGCATACCCCACCAAAATAAGACAAAAAGGAAAAGGTTAAAAGGTGTCTCAATTTAACATCGCCGGACCCAGGCTAACTCTGTGAATCTTGAAAATAATACAAATGCAAAAACAAAGCAATAAAAGCAACTACAAACAGCAAAATCAAAAAAAACAAATCAACAAAGCAAAAAAAACAAATGAAAAAGCAGCAAAAGCAAAAAACAACAAACAGCGAAAGCAATTTTTCGTTTTTGCTTTGTTTCGCGTTTTTTCCCGCTTTTCTTTCACTTTCTTTCGTTTTTGTTGTTGTTGTTGTTGTTGTTGTTGTTGTTTTCGCTTTTTTTGTTTGCCCGCATTTTGTCCGCTTTTGTCCGCATTTGTTTCGCAGTTGTTTCGCTTTTTTGCGCTTTGTGCTTTTGTTTCGCTTTTTCCCGCTTTTTTGTTCGCTTCTTTTTTTTTGCTTTTTGCTTTTTCATGTGTTTTTTGTTTCGCTTTGTTGTTTGTAGTTGTTTCATTTGCTTGTTTGTTTTTTTGTTCGCTTTCGTTTCGCTTTCTTTTGGCTTTTTGCTTTTCATCTGTTTTTTTCGCGTTTTTGTTTCGCTTGTTTTCGCTTGTTGCTTTTTAATTTGCTATGTGTTCTTTAATTGATGTTTGGACTTGCTTTTATTTTTCTTTTTGCTTTTTCATTTGCTTTTTTTTCTTTGTTGGATTCGCTTTTTTTGCTTTTGCTTTTTGTAGTTGCTTTTTTGTCGCTTTATCTATTTTTGTTTTTGGAAACAAACATCAGAGATAGCCTAAGTGGTTTTCTTAAGTCTCAATGAGTACATGATACAATGTAATTATCAGTGAACCGGGCTCAACTGTGCCTCCCCAATCGGTCAGCAGTGACCCCGCATGACCCCGCCAACGTCCAAGTTCCGCCCACCTCGAAGGAGTTCTCCTCTTGCTCCCAAGAGACGTCTCCTGCAGCAAAACAGGCAGATTTCTGTTGCAAATGTTTGGACCCTCCAAACCCACATAAAAGAGTGTCCAATCACTTTCTCAGAGGGCATTTGGTTCCATAGGGGTTGCGAAGATTTCATCCATAAGACTGGCAGTGTGCGTTGTGATCGGCAAAGCTTGGGGGAGCTTTCCTAGGAGTAACTCCAAGCAAGTAGGCAGCACCCTGGTCGAAGGTCAACGCAAATAGGCACCACCACTGATCCGCTGATCGAAAAACAGGTCCTTCTGAACGTGGATGAATCTGCACATCGTTGCCGAAACGTAAGTACGGTCTTGTGAGTCTTGTGAGTCTTGTGTTCTGCTTGGAAGATGTAAAGATTGCTTCAGACTGAGGAACAGAATGGAAGCAGATCTCCATCACCTTGATGACCTCCTCGATGCCGATCGGAGCCTCGATCGGCCGGGCTCCTGACGTTCCGTTGGACCGGCTGCATGCCAAATCCACCTGGCCCAGCGTGAGGTTCTCCCAGCAGCCTGGAGCGAGTGGCCACTGTGTCATGCGACTCCGGTTGACGGTTTGGATGGTAGTTTGTGGGCTGTGCACCGTGCCCGCCCAGTAAAAAGGGACCCAAGTACATGGAATGCCTGGAATGCCTGGATATTACATATATATACGTACAGTAGATTACAGTATAGTATACCGTATATGGACTTCCAAGACCATTTGAACAAATGGATACAAATGGTTGACCTGGTTTGTAGTGTAAAATGATTGGTAAAACTGTGCTTCGGGATGCCCCGCCTATTAAATTAATGGTGGGCCAGGAAGCCCAGATGTGTATCAAAGACCAGACCTCATGCTCTCAAAAGTTGGAACCTGCCACCAGCACTGGGTGCCAGTCTCTTGAAACGCTCCAGCAAGAAACCTTGAAGGAAGGGTCCTTCTAGTCCAAGGCTGACATGATGGAGAGGAAGCAGGATGTGCAGTCACTTCAAGACACACGGCCAAAAACACTTCAATCATTCACCCTCAAAGCCTCAATGACAAATCCATCTGCAACAAAACCAACAAATACCTGGACCCATCTGGACCCTCTGGAACCCTCCGGCTCATACCCTAGGGCCCTAGAGATCCCTAGAGCATCATGTATCTTGTAGGTTCTTCGAAGCGACCCAACTTCATCCCCGGGTTGGTTTGGTCACTTGAGGACTCCAACAAGGTCACGAACTGAAGAAGCTGGTACCCATTTTCTGATGTACTTTGAGACTGCAGGTGCCCTCCTCGTTTCGATATGTGTCGATCTAGAATCTACACAAACCCCTGCAGAACGACCAGGAGAATAGAATTTTCTCCGCCCACCCCATGCATGTCGTCCTGCGTTGCTTTGCTTTGGGCGCAGCCGTTTAGGGCCCTTCTCACAACTGCTGCGCGCCAAGAACACCTGTGGTGCGAAGTCCTTGGTGGCAGACTTCCTCCCAGTTGCTCTTCATCTATCCCTGCCACCCGACCCCCAACCTTCCTTTCAGTCAGACGCGGATCCCGGGTCGGGGGAGACCCGGGGTTCTCACCATTGTCGGGCTGTAAACGCAGCATCTGAGCAGTATGCGTTATATTGATGCATACCTAGATCTTCCAACTATGCAAAGCTTCTGGCTGTTGGCTGGTTGTATAGATGAACAGGCAGAAATGTTGCATAGTTGGAAGATCCAGGTATAAGATTTAGATATAGATATCTAGATTTATTTAAGTATATATATATATAGTATACTATATATATATATATTATATATATAATATATATATATAGCTACCCCAGGATTCCCTTCGTACATCGGATCTCACGAACACATTCCAAGGATCCGAAGGATCCGAAGGGCCCTTTGGTTGCTTCGTGAGAATAAAAGGCTACGGCGAACATGGGGCGCCCCAACGCCCAACGAATGTGGGGATGTCGTCTGGAGCAAACTGGGCCAGGCTGGGCGGCTTCTTTTTCGCGCATGTTCGCCCCACCCACCCATTAAACGTCCCGTGCCAAGAGGCATAGGCTGGAAGTACATCGAGCCATTTGACCAACTCCTCCACGCTGAAGTTCACCAGCTCACTCAGATTCCAGCCTTGAAAAGAGTGGAATTGCCGAAAAACTGGAAGACAAAAAACGGAAGCGAAGTTGATGTTCGGTCCTTGAACCTCGTCCAGAGCTCTGCGATCATCACGACGCACCCTCTCGAGGGTGCAAGAAGCTCTGAAGGTTCAGTTCGAGCGGGAAGAAATCTCTGAATTCATGTGTCAGCATGAGCCATATGTATATAGACTGTATACTCTTTAATCATCCCCCCAATTCGAAGAGGATGTCCAATTCAATTGGGGGGTTATGGTCCTCAAGAGTCTACATTACCCTTCACTTTTGCTCTGCTGTCCAAGGAACTGTTGTTTCTGCCTTAGTTCAGCCGTCTGATCATCCATGCTCTGGTTCAGTCTTGCAAAGGAAGGGTAGTAGATGTAGTAGGGTGGTGGAGGAAAGACCGCATGTTCACATCGCTCTTCTCACATCAAGAAACACAGAAGAAAAAATAAACATGCTTGGATATGCCTGGGCAGCTTCAAAAGCATCAAATACCTGCAGTCTCAGTTCGTGCCTCAGAAAATGGGTACAAGTATGGCCCGTTTATGTCCCATTCTGTAGGGAGGTCATCGCTACTAGCTTGAAGGCCGTCGCTACTAGGGTGGAGGCCATCGCTAGTAGGGTGAAGGCCTCGCTATTAGGTTGGAGGCTACTTGAAGTTGGGTCCAGGCGCTCCAAATCACAAAAATTGCAACATGCTATTGACCACAAACTGAATGGCTCTTACAGTAGGGGACGAATCCATCCAAATCCCTGTCGTCCATCCATCCAATTCATCGGTAAGAATATCAAGGAATAATTCATCCAAAATCCCTTGGATCAACCCTGTACTCACGTCTCTAGACCAAAAATACTTAGAATGATCACCCAGTGGCTTTCCACATAGCCACTGGCTGGCCCGCTGCAGCTAGGGCAGCTCAAGATGAGCTGTTGCTGCTGTGCCGGCCGGATTGCACACCTGCCATAGGAAGGTGGAGAAGTTCAACTACGGTGGAATCAAGACATTTGTGCTCACATGTGATTTTCAAGCAAGGTAATTAGGATGTTCACATATGGTTCAAATGGTCAATTTGTGCGTTCCAGTCGAAATCGAGCAAAGTGTGGCATTGGTGAACGTCTCTGTCTCTCGTGGGGTAGTCGTTTTCATGCCTTAGCCGGGATTTTGGGCGTGTTCATTCCTTTCAATTCCTCCTTTACATACGCAGCATTCCGGTTCCAAAAACACAGAAAGAAAATAATGCAGTGATGTCAGTAGACCTCATTTTTTATCGAGGTGCGATATCATTTGGGAGAAAGGCTAGAAATAAAGAAGAAGGTTGCACAAACCAATAATTACTGCCAGCCCAGGGGCCAAGCCATCCAAAGAAATTTCAACTGCACCAGGAGAATACGACGTTCTTTGAGGGGGTCACAGTTTCTTCGCAATCAACCCTTGCTTCTCAGGGTGTATCTCTTGCATCGAGACCGCTAACGCTCCTCCAGAGCTACGAGTAGGGGAGGCGCCCATTCCATGGGCCTCTTGAGATACTCGAAGAAGTGGACCCTTCGGTATAACTTCCCCTCTGGGGGACTCCTGTCTGGGCCCACCATTGCTTGAATGGTCTTTACAAAACAACATATTGGTTTTACTGAAGGCTTTAGACTACAAAACCCGACGAACCTGTTTTTGAAGGCTAGGACCCCCACACACAAAGCCCCACAACTCTGCTTCTACTCATAACCTTCAAGCTCTGGGTCACTTTCAAGCAAATGTCAAATGGAACCAACCATCTCATCAAGATCTACATCAAGAATTGCCCAGTTGCTGCTTGACAATGGTATGGCATGGTTTGGCAACCATCTGCAAGACGTGATGAAAGCAGCCCAAACGGATTTTGTCATCTGTTCCCAAGGAGCGAAAGCACGCGAAGCCGCCGCGCGCGACCTCGCCCACGATCTTCACCTGTCTTCCATCGCCCCCCCCTTTCACCAACCAACGGAAGCGCTCCACCCGCAGAACCCGGCGCGGACGGGCGCCTCCAACACTCCGTCACGGGAGTCACCTGCAGCGACCGGAATCGATGCACCGAGTGCCGTGCGGACGCTCCGTTGTTTGATCCGTTGGAGTCATCGCACCGGGAAAACCGGTCCGTGTGGGAAGTACCTTCCAATGGTCGGCTCGGTCGAAGTCGGAAGTCACCTGGTAATACCTGGTATACCCTACCAAGTACATACTCAGAAGGTGTTTGGACCCTCCTGGCACCCACCCCAGTCCCACTTTCTCAGAAGGTACGACTGGAGCCCGTACGGGCATAGTGATTCCAAAATATTCCAAATATTTCATGATATTTCCAGATACCAAGGTCGGTCTGTCGAGTGATCGACTCTCGTAACCCCAAGCCATGGATCAGGTTCGCTCACTTGGACATGAAGCAAAAATTAAGGATCGATTTTCAGAGGGGGGTCTGCGGAAAATTCTTGGGAGGCGGAGGCACCAGTGTCCCAAGAAAAAAGGAACATGGGTTCCTCATGGTTCCTCCATAGCACTTCCATTATCAAAGGGGGGGGAGTTCCGCAACTTTCATGACCTCTCGACCACTCACCACGTTGAGTTTGACTTCCTCGGTCGATTTTCTAGCAGTGGTGGAACAGGAATGTGAAGAACTAGACCTAAGGGCTCCAGATAGTTTTACCAACCAAACCAGCCAAACCATTTACCCACCCAAGGAAACCCATCGTCGGCACTTCTGCCTCAGGCTGAGCACACACGTGACGTGGGGCAGGACGAGTGTTCGCCACGAGTACTTCCCCGGCGAGCGGACCAACAACGAATGTGCTTGCCAGGTGGAACCTATATTTAGTCTTGTTTGACGTTTTGTCCGATCCCTACTCTCCACTGCCGTTCGGCTCGTTAGCTCGTCCGTGGTCGGGTTTCATGGACTCGTCCCGGACGTGCAACAAGTGCCACTCCGGGGCGAGACAGGCCGGGGATTCCTGGTGCGTCGGGTGCTCGTCGCTGGAATCGATCGCTGCTGATTTGAAGAGAGGTTGGAACAGCGGCGCCCTTCGTGTGATAGCGGAGGACGCCTGTGTGGCAGCAGCTCGGGCGGTGAGGGCACTTCGATTCGCCGGGAATCGGCTGGGCGACACAGTCCCCCGTGCCGAGAAATCCCCTGGTGAGCCTGAAGAGTGGTCTTTGGAGGAGGTTGAGGAAGAGCCCCAGGAGGAGGCAAGACCCCGGACCTCGGGGCAATCTACGGCAGCCAAGTCACGACCGAAGAGGACTAGATCGCCAGAAGAGGTCAGACGGCCCAGGCCCAAGACGCCACCGCGTCCACCACCAGGTCATCGAGAGCGAGAGGAGGCAGCACGCCTGGAGGCCGAGCTTGAGGACGAGGAGCACGGTCGGGCGAAGCGGAAGAAGCATCGAGGAGGCACCAAACATCAGCAGCATACGAGACAGAGAGACGACGGGCAGCAAAGAGTTACACACAGGCCTTTGGGCCGAGAATACTACGAGAGACGGGCCCCCCCCGAGGGCCAACGAGGAGCGCTGATGGAGACCCCTTTTGGGGGAAGGTTCACCTGCCGTGGAGGCAGGGGAAAGGACCGGGATCCAGATTCGTTGTTTGCAGAGGAGTTCAACGAGGGCGACATCATCGAGGTGTTCGACATAGAAGGTGTGGAGGATGGTCGACCACTTCGGGCCGTACTCTGGGTGGAGGCCGTCGAGCACAAGGATCGCTCTGGCCTCACCTTACGAGTGGCCGCATTAGGAGGAGACGAGAAGGCGGAGACGGCGTTGCTGGCGACAGTTTACAACCGGAAGAAAGTCAGGCTCCATCTCTGCACCAACAGGGATCGAGAAGGTCATTGCGCAGCAGAAGAAGTAGGAACTCACGCATTGACTTTCTACAAGTACTCTCTCCACGACTATCCAGTCAAGTTCGCGAGCGAAGGCGTGGCAAGAGCTCTCAAGAGGCGTCGACGAGAATGGGATCGCAAGAGAGGAAAAGGAGGACGGGATCCCCAACAAGGAGGTGGTTGGCGCTGGAGGTGTCAAAGCCCCCGCGCGCCCAGGAGTGTTGAGGCACAAGAGAAAGGCATTGTCCGCGCCCCTTGGCTTGGAGACCGAGGACCATGGAGCAGAAGGAGAGTGGAGAGAGCATCCCGGAGAAGAGAAGGAGGTGGAAGACGAGCCCTACGAGGAGAGAGAGAAAACACGAGGAGGCGAAGACCACGCCGGCGGTGTTGCGAAGAGCTCCAAAGCAGCTCTTACTCAGGCCCTGGGCAACCTTCGCAAGCGGCTTGGCATCGAGAAGGGCACCGAGCGGAAAGGTGGTCATGGTGCTGGTGGAGAACGCTCCGTCGTTATCGATGCTGCACCGGCCAGCTCGGCCAAGGCGAAGGCTCAGGTGAAGATGCGAGGTCAGCCGGAGGAGAAGATCGAGGACGATGTCATGGCTTTAAGAGGCACTACTATGAGCTCTTCGAAGAAGGGACAGACAGAGAAGAAAGAACGCCCAGGCGGAGGAGTGTTGATGGAGTTGGTGAACAAGGCGGCGAAGAGACCCAAGGAGTTGAAGGAGGACAAGAAGGAAAGCAAGTCATCGAAGACGGCTATGGCCTTAGTTCAAACCCTGGCCAAGGGACTGGGAGTCAAGAAGTTCCAAGGAAAGTCCATAGGCGGGTTGAAGAAGAAGAAGAAGAAAAAGAAAAAGAAGGATGGGGACGAGCCGGAGGATTCGAGCGAGGGAGATCACAGCGGGAGCTCACCGACGAAGAGCTCGGAGACCGGCTCAGGCGATTCTTCGGAGGAGAACCTCGAGAGGCTGGAGATGGCCAAGGCAACGCCGCCGTTGGAGAGGATGAGTCAAAAGAAGAAGGGGTCAGTGTTGAAGCTCTTCGTGCAACATATGCGAGAATCGCTGCAAAATCTCGACAAAGGAGAGGCAGTGGAAGCCCAGTCAGTGGTAGGAGGAGTCTCAGCCATAAAGTATTGGCACCTCATCATAAAGCCCCAGATGACAGGCAAGATGAAGGAGGCTCGGGAGATCTACTGCCTGCTCCAGGCTTTGGATTTGCTGCGAGGGGGGCATCTCGATCAGATGGGGGACCTGCTCGCAGCTCGCATCATGGCTATACACCAGTCGGTGTCGGATGGAGGCAGCTGGAGAGCAGCCAAACACCTGGAGATAAAGCCCCTGGAGACAACCTCAGCTTCAAAGACGAGCGTGGTGCTTCAAGCGAGGAAGTTCGCCAAGATAGCGGACCGTGCACAAGGCCTGCCGCCAAGGCGCTGGTCCCCTTATGGCAAAGGTGGAAAGACGTGGTTCGACGAGGAGGATGGCACCGCTGATGGCAGAGGAAAAGGAAAGAGGAGGAAAGGAAAAGGAAAAGGAAAGAACAAAGGAGGCATGAAGGACTGGAGGGAGAACCAGGAACCGCCTCCTGGGAAGGCAGAGAGCTAAGGAGAGGCTGCTTTCGAGAGATGATGGAGGCCGCAACAGATTTGAGGAGCCTCGGAGAAGGCTTGGCATGGTTGACTACACAGCTGTTGGATGACAGATGTGGAGGAGCCTTGAGGAGTTGGTTGGGGCTCAAAGCCGTGAAGTGTCGGGCGGGGAGAGGCCGCAAGCGCCCCTCCCTCCCAATTCCTGCAGGCCACTTTGCCGGGTTGATGACACGTTTGAAGCATCATTCACTGGCGACATTGGCCCCAGGACAATCTTTGCATGACCTGCGCAGGGTAGCTTTCAGACCCGTTGCGCCATCAGGCCTTGAAGACGAAGAGAAGGGTGTTGATGCGTGGCTGCTCTGCTCAACCGTTGGCTGCAATTTGCTAGCGGGGTACAGGGAGCTGCTACCTGCAGGAGAGACGTCCGCTTTGCAGCGCAGTGCCATTGATCAGCTCAGGCCGACGCTCAAGCGAAGTCTTGAACCGGGTGGAGGACCCTGGAAGCTTCAGAAAGAGAGTTGATAATGGGCTTCGGCTTTGAGCACACGGCCCCGTGCTGGGGAGCCACAGACGTAAAATCGAACTTGCAAGGTTTCGAAAACACCAGGCTTTCTTTGATTGGAGACAGTTTCTGTACGCTTTCCTTTGCTGCAGTTTTGGCCTGTTCTTTTGATTGGGCGCCCGGGGAGTTTACTATTCACCACCTCATTCAGCGGTTAGGCCTCGCACCGGGGTTTTGTTCCAGTTGGCAGACTCCGGCGCCACTCGCACGCCGCCTGGTCTTTGGCCCCTGGGACGTCGGCCTTTCCCCCCAACCGTCGGTCACCGACCTCAATAAGGTGTTTTTGCAACGTACGAACCACACTGGGTCGGACGTCCGGATCATTACGGGGCAACTGATGAACCAGAAGCAACCTCTTCGACAGTCTATTCCCAGCTGCCTTTGGCACTGGAGCTTTCTCTTCCAAAACAAGTGGACGGTTAGCGAGCACATTAACGCCCTTGAAATGAGGCAGGCTTTCAACACCATGAATTGGTTGATTAGGGATCGTCAGCACTTCAACCTGCGTTGGGTTCATTGCTCCGACTCTTACGTGACCATATCTATCCTTTGTAAGGGCCGAACCTCATCTCAGAAATTGGAAGGGCTAGTGCGCAGGTTCAACAGCCACATGCTTCTGGCTCAAATTTATCCGATTCTTCTGCACGTAGCTTCATTAGATAACTCTACTGATGAAGCATCCCGGAAGTTCTCGTGAGGCGGCTCGCTGGCGCGCCCAACGTCGGCGTCGCCGTGCGGGCGTCTCCCTCCGAGACGCTGAGACTCGGACCCGCTACTATGTCGGCTTGCGTTGTGTCCTTCAGACCGGGCTATGAGCTGGTATGACCTTGACATGCGTTTGGCAGATTGGATCGAACAACAATGGAGTGCCGGTGAGCCAATCGGGCACATCTCTGACACTCTTTGTGGCTTGTCTCACTACGTTCCTCAGGCGAAGCGTCAGACGCCAGAGGCGTGGGCCCTTTTCAAGATTTGGAGGAAGGTGGAAACTCCCTCTCGGGCCCCGCCCTTCCCTCCTCTTGTTATTTGGGGCTTGATCGGCTACTGCGTCTTCACTTGCCAGCTTCGTATGGCAGCGGTCTTGGCGCTGGGCTTCCACGCGTGCCTTCGCACCGGGGAGGCCCTGGGCGTCGCTCCGCAAGATTTCCTCTTGAAATCTTCCCATGGTTTGCTTCGGCTAACTGACACCAAAAGTTCTAAGTCTGCAGATGAATTCATCCGTCTGGACGACGTCCGTGTCCTGATGATCCTTCAACAGGTACAAGATTGGATCCCTTAACGGTTCTGGCACAAGCCTATTTGGAATCGCTCTCCGCAAGCCTTTCGTACAGGTCTGGCCCAATTGCTGGAACACTTTCAGCTTCAAGCTCATGGATTCAGAGGTTATTCTCTCCGCCGTGGCGGAGCCACACACCACTTTGATGTGGGCGGCAGCCTGGAGAAAACCCTGCTCTTCGGTCGATGGCAATCCAGCCGAGTTGCCCGCATATACCTTTGCGATGGGCTGGCACGATTGTCCCAGATGCGTCTCAGCAAGACTCAAGAGGCTAGACTTTCTAGATTTGCCTCCTTCCAGTTCTGAGTTGGGTTACACCTTCAACCGTTGGTCGAGCGCGTTCCGCGGGGGTCGTGGAACGAGAGAATGAGTTTCAACTACAGGTTTTTGAATTCAAAGAAGCTGCGAGATGCCA